ATTTAAATGTTTTCCACTTTTTATTTCCGAATGGAAATTTATTTCCGAATGGAAATTTATTTCCGAATGGAAATTTATTTCCGAATGGAAATTTATTTCCGAATGGAAATTTATTTCCGAAATTGTAACCGTTCAATTTTGACATTATCTAATTTTCATTAGAAATGATGCAGAATAGTCTGAAAATACGTAAAAATACGAAGTTTGGCGAACATGTCTGTATATCCCCGGCCCTCCTTTTCACGGATTTTTGGAAATTAAGTTTTAGAAAATACAACAATGAGAAGACAAAAAAAAGTTCCAAAAAATATGAAATCTTGGGAAATTATAGGTCCTAATTTGGACGAAGTCTGGCCGTAGAATTCGCTCCATCAATCCAATTGTCCCCGAAAGCCTTTTTTTCTCAAAAATTTTTTGTTTGCAAATATTTGCAAAACTAGTGGGCCGACTAAACTATTTTTTCTTTGAAAATGTTCGTCTCAATGGCCCGTATCTACATCAATCAAAGCTTATACAGCCGTCGGTACAAAGTTTTTGAGATATTTTCGCATTTCTGTTTTTTTTTTTCAAAGCAGCGTCGTACGCGCACTAGCCTCCACGAAAATAGAGATATCAACTTGGAATTTCGAAAGCATTTTCGTTTTTTAATAGGGACGGTTCGTATTCCAGAAAGATTCCTCGTAGAACCACAGTGAGAGATTAAGGGTATTCTATTCAGAAGCCGACCTTCAATGAAATTGATGACAAAAGAAAATTAAAAAATCAATAAATAAATAACATGTGAAGTACCAATCATATGTCTACTACCGTTAAGAACGGCCAACTGCTTGTTTCAGTGTTATAATGTTTTTCTGATAAAATTGTAAAATTTATATTGTTTTTTATAAAAGAATTTTGATTATTAACGATTTTTTGTTTGATATTTTTATCATAAATTTTACTGATATTAAGGAGGTAGGAAAAGAGGTTAGGTTAGGTTGCACACCAAATGGCGCGTACTAGTATCGTACGGGTTGGTGTGCTATCCGGGTAGTCATCTGATTTCAGTAATTACAATGACTTCATTGATTTTACTATGAATACACTGTGACTACACTAGCGATTGACACCATGACTACGAAAGTGAATGACCCCTCGCATAAAACAGTAACCATAAATTACGATATTTAAAATGTCATTTACGAGATCCTTACGTTTCAGTAGTTTTTGAGTAATCCGAGAATAATTTTCAGATATTTTTTCAAATTTTGCTAAATGAAAATTTGTAAAATTTGGGAATCATGGCGCGGAACAAGAAAAGTTGTAAATTATTAGACAAATTTTACCTAGGAAATAAAGGGGTGGAATAATTTTAAAAATTTGAAAAATGTCGAGAATTTAAGAAATTGCGAAAATGTGGGAATCATGACGAAAAATAAGGAAAGCTGGATATTATTATACAAATTATGTCTGGACGTGAAAAGGCACGGGGTTATATTTCGAAATTTCATAAAACGTCAACCATTTAAAACATCTTGCAATTTTGCAAAATATTGCGAAAACCATGGAAGATGGCGAATAGTGGGAAGGGACAGCAGAATTTTGAAAACATTACAAAAACTACTTTTCTCGCAGAAACGTTTCGAATCCAAATTTCACCCATCCTTTAAGCGAAGTGTGTACAATTATTTGCCATCTTCCCTAGCTTCCACAATGTTTCTCAAGTCGAGAAATTTCTTCAATTTGTGATATTTATAAAATTGATTAAAATTTTGCTATCACCAAAGCTGAGCCAATCTAACAATAATGGTAAGACAATTAGAAATTCGTCTTTAGGATATCAACTTTTTGACAGCCAACTTTTGACCAAGTCACGGGGGATATTCATTCTAGATGCGACTACTCATATACATATTTTTTAATATTTTCTTAAATGTTTCAAAGTGCCCCCATTTAAAAACGAAATATTTTTGTCATGAATATGATATTCCTGATAACTTTTTGATATGCACTAGGATTCATAACTCATCACTCACTAGGAAAAAATAGTTTTATTGAATCAAGTATCAAAATTTTGCTTAACTATGAGATCACTATGTGAAAAATTACCTTAAATGAACCTCTATATCGATTACTAACATTTTGAATTATTCCAAATTGTTTAAGTTAATGAAATCTCGAATTTTTACCTTTGGAAAATAGTGAAGGACGGCAAGGCCTTATATTGTCAAATAAGGGAGTCCTTCAACAATATATAATATTTACACCTGTAGTTAGATTACCTAAAAATTACTGCCCCGAATATATACTTATCAAAAAGTGTTTTGATACTCATAGAATTACATCACTCCTCTTCGACTCCTGTTATATATGTCCCACAAACCTAACACACTTTGGCGCAATGGAAATGTATTATTGTATTTTTACGAGAATTAATACGTCGCCTTAAAATAAAAAATAAAATTGTTCTTTTCGAAAAGAAATATTTTCTGACGAATTTTTTGATAGCTTGTCAGTCAATTATTTTCAACAATCTTTATATCACTCGTCCCACCCGCACCCCGTAGTTTTATTGCCCTAGGAAGATAAGTAGCCGCTTATCGCTTTTCTTTTTGCTTATCCCCCTTGGGTAAGAAAAAACCTCGGTCAGTCGGACCTCGTAACATAGAGTAGTATATGCCACACGGTCTGAAAAGTATTTTACCACAATATTTTTATAAAATACGTTGCCAAAATACTTTTCAGCCCTTGTGACATGAATTAATATTACAGACAATTTGACTGAAAATTAAACAGCAGATTTGTATTCTACTTTCTCTAATTAATCAATGGCAGTGTCTACACACACGGTGTATTGTTGAATACCATAGACGTATGGCATGTTTCCTACCATGGATCTATGGCTTTTATCGACCATCTCCGCATGTAAATCATGGTCTATGGTAAGTTTTACCATGCGTCCATAAAATACCATATACTTAACGGTCCTTATTCGTCCAGGGCACAATGCCATGTGCATAGTGATCTCCACCATACGCCCAACCGATTACTGGGTGTATGGCAATTACAATTATGAGTTTAGGTTTTTTTTATTGATAGTCTTCCACTCTTTCACTCTTCCTTGTTTCCGAAAACCATAAAAAGATTCCCAAACAACTTATCAAACACTTGAAGCTTTTTAATGAGTTCTTCTATTCTATTCCAAATATTTTTGTCAATATATGATAATGAATTATCTTAAACATCCTACTCGATAATGAGTACAAGATTACCGTGCATGATCTGCACTTAGATGCCCATAGAGTCAGAGATTCTTTTACGAGTACTCATGTTAATATCGAACTCCTTTCACCTTTTGTTCAAACCGAGGCGTTTTCAGCATTTAAAAAGGTAATTATCGATAAGACGAATTCAGGAGCAAAAACGTGTAGTTACTGTGGATGCATTAATATCCAAATATCACGTCAATGGGTAATTTATCAGTCATGTTTGCGGTATACACACGCCAATTGAGTTGACGTTCAAAAAAATGTCCAAGGTATGGTTTTGCTCGCCATGTATCAAAAAGAAGGATGATTTTTTTCCAATTATTCTTGAGATTCCTAATACACTGAGAAAAAAAAATATTTTTGCCAAGAATATTTTCTTCCCACAAGTAAATCTGGCGATCACTGTGTAAATACTCTCATAAGACTTACTAATGCCAAATATATTTTCTTGTGGTTAGTAAATATTCTTGGGTAAAGAAATTTTTTTTCTCGGTGTAGGATCGAAACACCAAGAGCACAACAACAAAAAGGGATCCAAATGAATAATAATGTAGATGTCCGCGTTCTCACGACAATTGATTTACCAGTTAGTCTTTATTTTAGAAAACGTATAATTTTATATTTTTAAAATTTTTTGAATTATTATATTTTTATTTCATTCACCTCAGATATTATTAAGGGATTTAAGTTGATGTAATTCCTGCAATTATTTGAAGAATGCTCTAATTTATTTCGAGAAGTGGAAAGAGCAAAAAGGAAGCGTAACGTTTGTCGAATTTTATTCTTCCTTCCAACATGCATTACTTGTGTAAATTTAGAATGTTTAACATAATTGGTGATCATATATTGATAAAAGTATTTTGAATAAAATAGCATTCATTGACAAGCTTCAGGTGTTTATGGATTAGTTGGGTATCCTTTTATTGCTCTCGAAAACAGGGAAGAGTAAAAAATATAACTAGTATGAGCTTTCTTTTACTTACCGCATTTCCTGACAAGTCAAAAGGCTTACGGTCTTCCGAAGATAGTTGAATTCTGAGGAATTTCACTGTGAATGTTTATACAGGCAGTACATTTTTAAATTTATTTGTACCTTCATTAAGAGACTTGAATATTTGAATTGCTGTTTGAGAGAGAAAAGAGCCAAGATTGAACTGAGGTATACGATTTGATACATATGTGCTATTTCTACCAATAAAAAATATGAAGCCATAGTTCTAACGGCCATACACCCAGTAATCGGTTAAGTGTATGGTGGAAATCACCGTGCACATGGCATTGTGCCATGGACGCATGGATGAGAACCATAAACCATGATTTACTTGTGGAAATGGTCGATAAAAGCCATAGATCCATGGTAGAAAAAATGCCATACGTCTATGGTATTCAACCATACACCGTGTGTGTAGACACTGTCTTAATCAATATCAACCATATGAATAGGTGAACCTCATTTTTGTATTGAAATTATAGGCAGCATACAAAAGTGGAGGATTCAAAGAATTTCACCCTAAAATTTTTTCGCAGACATATAAATCGATTTTGTTCCTTCTCTGTAACAATTCGTTAATAAATATAGTATTCACAAAGGAAATGAGAATTAAGGAATTCCGATAAATCTCATTGCACCAAAAACTGCACGGGAAAAGTATTGGAGGGAAAGTCGACTAAAATTGCGTTTCCATTTGTATTTTTAAACTTCTTGTTATCCCGCAAGGATAAAACTGAATAATGAAATAAATAAATCATTACCTCGGAAGTGGAATCGTAAAATCTGGTATTGTTAACAACTCAGGCCTAGGCGATGGTAAATTATGTTGCCACCTTGTAGCGTACGGTGTCTTTTTATTGCTTGGCAACCTGTATGGTTTTATATAAATCTGTCCATAAACTTTAGTATGCCGTGGTCGACGTTTAAGTGTTAATAACACTTCCATGGGACTCTCGTTAAATAATTCGAGAACATTCTTCCTTCCCCATCCTACGACCGTTTGATAGTTGACCTATCGATTAGTAAGAAAAAAGTTATTAGATCAGTTGTCTCTATGCTCATTGAAAAAAAACGTTGTCCACCCGAGTCACTTGATACTTTCAGTCCTCAAGGCCTCCCTCTTTTATATATAAACAACATGTACCACGTATCTTTTAAAAACTCACAAAGTCGGGTTTCGAATGGTTTAAGGCCCGGTTGGAGTACCTGATTATCTCATATAGGTAGTTTTTCTTTCTTGTATTTTTATTTGAAATTTTGGTGCAGTCCTGCATAAAGCAGACCTGTATAACATAAATGCATATAGACTGGAAAAAAATTTTTTTTTTAATATATATAGAGTCCGTGCTTTTTTACTAAAATAGGAGGATAATTATGCAAAGGCAGAAGTTGGGAATATCTGATTTGATGGATGAGGGGGCTACAAGAAGTAGGACGAACGTTGCAGTTTGATTTTGATGTTCAGATGTTTTAAAAAATAGTAGATGACGCAACAAGTGCGTAATGGATTTCTTGGCTCGTGGGATGGTTGTAACACGACCCGAAGCCGAGTTTTACAATCCCATGAATCAAAAAATCCATAACGCACGTGTTTCGTACACTATTTTATGTTATTGGGCACCTATGATATAAAATTATTTCGATATGCATTCATCCTACTCCTTGTTCTTTTGTCGTTCACCATCTCCCCCCTGCTCCATCAAATCAGATATTTCCAACTTGTGCTTCTGTACAATTATCCTCCCATTTTAATGAAAACGCACGGCCTCTAGATTTTTGGTTTTTCTTTTTACTTTTTTTCCAGCCTACATACGTTAATGTGATACAGCTCTGCTTCTTGCAGGGGGCTTCTGTACCAAAGTTTTAGACAAAATAAACAAGAAAAAAAAACTATCTATACGAGATTATCAGATACTCCAACCGGGCCTTAAATTTTATCCTTTCGACTGTACGCAAATCGAAATTACGGCTAGTTGAACATCAAGAAACATGAAGTTGATATGTCACATCTACTTTGGAAATCTTAGATTCGGCCAAATTTTCAACACCCGTGTAAGCAAAAAATGATGGATTTCTGGTACCATTTGAACACTCAAAAACTTGAACACCTTTCTGTGCTTTCGAATGATACTTTTTGTGATGATACATTTTTATCATATACCACGGTTTTATCGAATTAATGGAGGAATGGCAATGAATATTACATATAATTTTAAAGCTCATTCGTTTAACTTTCGAATGACATTCCGTGCATTCGGTTGCGTTCATTCTGTTCTGAGTTATGAATCAATAAACGTCAGAATGGCGTGTCACAGTTATTTTGTGTGTTAACAATGGTGTGAGTATTTTCATGTTTTGACAGATGAAGTATCCTATATAATTTCCAACCTCACTTTCTGAGCTATCCAATTATTCAACATCATTACAATGTATTGCATTCATTCTCTGTGTTAGGGATATATAGTGTGATTTTTGTAATTCAGAACGAAACTGGTTAAATATTTTATACTATCTTAGAGTTTGAAAAATGAGCTTTCAAATGATCCAACTCTTACTAAGGTCTGACGGGTATTTATCATGTAAATGATTGCTGAAACATCAAATTGTTTCAACAGTATTCGCGTAACAAAATTATCAAAGATATGGGGAAAAAAATTAGACAGTTAAAATTAAAAAAAAATTGATCAGTAATTATTCCCTATTCCACCTTGTTCGGATTGTTTTAACAGATTACTTGTTTTGGTTGACGGATCTTAGATATATGTTCACAGATAATAAAAATGGGTCTCCATATATCGCGTGCGTTTAGCGCGCGTCTCTGATATTGCCCTAATAGATTTATAAGTTTCAACTTGAAAAAGAGTCGTGGGAATTACCTGAACTATTTCATCCCCCTCTTCCATTTTTGCGCACTGATGTGCTACCGAGCTAAATTTGACTTCCGCAATTTGATGAGTTCCATGAAATGAAGGAAGTATGTAGAAGCCCAGATCATCACCAGGTCGTTTTTTTAATGTCGCTAAATCTAAACTGGCCGGCTGAAGAATCATAGGATCCGAAATATCTCGAATAATATAATCAGCTAATTGAGCCAATTCATCACAAGTTGCTCTTATCTCTTCAATTGGTTTCTCTGCAAATCTGTCCCTTTGTGCACATGTTGCCATCTCAATACTTAGCTTCAACAATTGAGTTTTTCTATCATTGTACTCGGCTTGTCCACTGAAGGGCGGCTTATCCAGCCACCTCACCAGTGGTTTAACAGATGTAACAACACCCACGACATCGGACAATGTTTGTGTTGCCACTGGTTTTGAATCTGTTTGTCGAAATAGCTCATTATGTAGACTGTGAGCTTGGCAAGCAAGTCGTAGTGCTAACAGTTGCAGATTCTCCCGATCAAGCTCATAATGAAAGTTTCTCAAGTATTCAACTGCTTCGAGAATAATCTCCTGATGTCCAACTTTGAGAACACCCAATTGTTCCAGATCCTCAGGTCTGAGACTCAATAACTGTTGGCCATTTACTTTGTTATTTGTAAAACTGTGCACGTAGGGGAGAACTGAATTATCAAGACCTGTAAATACATCGATTGGATGGACATTAGACATCAATATAAACTGACTAATTGGTGCCACTAGATACGAAAATATTATATTTATTTCACAATAGGAAGGATTTAATTTCAAAGAATAATGTAGCAATCGAACAAATCGGAAATTATGGCCCACAGAAATACCAAAATGGAATTGAGATTATTCAGTATACAGTCAATATATATATATATATATATATATATCCATACACATATATATATATATATATCTCAAATTAATCGATGACATAAATGAGGAATTATTCATACACTTTGGGTAGATAGCTTCTGATAGAACACTTTCCAATAATGAAATTCATTTCTCAATGCTCCTAAAAATCCTGATTTTTATTTAGTACCTTTCAACCATTCACACACTTGATCGGTTTTCCATTCAGCAACGTTTACATACGCCATGACCACTCCTTAATCATATTGACCGCCACAACCATGAGATCTGTCACCAATATAAACACTCTTAATAAAAAGTAAAAAATTATTTAAATGGAAAATAAATTAAGAATGACAAGACTCTCTTGATAGAAATTGAAGGTTATGCAGTGAATCGTCAGAGCAGAAAGCAGAGATTATAGGGGAGATATAGGGCTTACGGAAAGGCTTTGACAAGTGATTCATTGCGGCGGCTACGGAACTACGCCCCGAGAGCCCGTACGTGTAAGCAAAACAGGTCGCGAGCCCGTGAGTGTCGATAATTTTCCGAGCCCGTGCGTGTCGATAATGTTCAGAGCCCGTGAGTATGGATAAGACAGAGCGCGAGCCCGTGAGTGTCGATAATCCGAGGCGGTCGTGAGTGTCAGAAAGGTCGGGCCACTGATCGAAATAACGATGACGTCAAAAAACGAACGAAAACATCTGATGTACCGGAGAGTGGGGGTATGATGGAGACACAACCGATGGACGGAATGAAAAAGCAAGTTACGTTCATAAATACGCCATTTGTTTAAAGAATTGAGGAAAAATTGTCTCGAAAATGTATACTCAAGCGATTGAGAATCAGCTGAAACGTGGAGATTGATTGGTGCCTCGAAACTTTTTTTTTCAAACGATATCTTTTTTGTTAACAAATTTAAAAATAACTAAACAAATTGGGGAAAAATTGTCAAATATATATTCAAACGATTGGGAATCGCCTGAAACGTCGAGATTTATGGGTCCCTCGGAACCTTTTTTTTCAACGGCTCTATTTTTGGTAACAAATTCAAAAGTGATTGAACAAATTCGGGAAACATAGAGCTGTTGAAAAAAAAAGGTTCCGAGAGACCCGTAAATCTCCACGTTTCAGACGATTCTCAATCGTTTGAGTATACATTTGCGAGACAATTTTTCCCGAATTTGTTTAATTATTTTTGAAATTGTTAAGAAAAAAGATATCGATTTAAAAAAAAAGTTCTGAGGGACCCATAAATCTCCACGTTTCACACAATTCTCAATCGTTTGAATATATATTTGCGAGACAATTTTTCCCCAATTTGTTTAATCATTTTTGAATTTGTTAACAAAAATAGAGCCGTTGAAAAAAAAAGGTTCCGAGGGACCCATAAATCTCGACGTTTCAGGCAATTCCCAATCGTTTGACTATATATTTGCGAGACAATTTTTCCTGAATTTGTTTTTTCATATCATATGATATTATAGATTTAGATTTATTTAGTGATATATAAAATATAAACCATGTTTTTCAAAAAAAAGAGGTCCATTTTGCCCCTTTTTCCCTCTATATCTCGAAATACAGTGTAGAGGGAATTTTTTCATTATTTTTCTCGAACTCGCGAGACAAAATACTACGGGAAACCACCATCAGGCTGTGGCGCCAAAGTAATCGGAATTGTGCCCATTATCGACACGCACGGGCTCTGAGAATTATCGACACGCACGGGCTCTGAGAATTATCGACACTCACGGGCTCTCGACCTGTTTTACTTACAGGAACGGGCTCTCGATCTGCTTTACTTACAGGAACGGGCTCTGACCCCACAGTGGCCACAGTGCGTTCAACATAGTGCTCCAAAATGAACAAATAATTAGAAATTGAAATGAAACTTGAGAAGAAACAAGTTGGCATCGAGTTATTATTATTTAAGTACTCAAAATCATTTTAAGCTCTCAAAGTAGTAGATTTATGAGGAGCTGCGAAGCATAGGGGCTCGGTTCCGAATTAGGTACGCTGTTCATTTTTGGAGGTAGCGTCGTTCGTACTATCACAGCACTACACCGCCGGTGACTGGTAGTTGGCACCACATAATTGAAAATTCATTAGTTTTTTTATTTAGATCAATAGTAGGACCTTTGTACATCATTGTAATACCATTAAAAAATGTTGTAGACCCTTCATTATTTTTTAATTAATTATACAAAATAATGATCGGAAGTTAGCACCCCACCCCACTAATTTTTATTTGTAGACTGAAATAATATTAACCAATGGACCGACGGTAGTGGCCGTGCGGTTAGAATGCTAGACTAGCATGCCAAGGATCCGGGTTCGATCCCGGGCACCGGCGGTCAAAAAATTTATAGCGCTCTGATCTCACGGTTTCACTGCCGAGCGGTAGTCCTGTCAAAAGGACGACTGTACCTGGGCAGGTTTTTCCCTCAGATGAGGTTTTCCCTCCCTTCAGCAAATGCGGTACAGGGGGTTGGGGGGTGGTAAGGGAACAAATCGTAAAAACCCGAAAGGGTATACGAGTGAGAGAATTTTTATTAACCAATGGAAAGCAAATCGTTTGTAGATAATAAATCAATTGGTATCATCCTTCTACACCTGATTGTTCATTAGATATTAATTAAATTAAAAAGTGGTTTGTAGTGTTTACATCGGCATCCGCGCATGCGCAGACACGTACCCTCGCACAGTTTGGCACCATGCACTTGGAAGCAATATCGTTCTTTAATTAAATTTTCAAACTTTTTTCTTGGTAAATATTCAGGTAGTAAATTGGTGAAATTTAGGAAAACATGATTAGAATTTGGGACTAATTAGTTTTCGTTTAATTTTTTTTTCTTTTTTGTCAATAATAATGAGCAGAAGTTATTCTTAAAAAAATCAAAAATAATTGGAATCACAATCACTTTAAAATGCATCTTCTATATGGATAGTTTTTAAAACAACCAAGTTGAAATTATCGGAAATTAATTGGTTAAAATTACAGAACGAAAATAGGAAATAGAAAATACAAGTGTTCCAATCCAAAATTAAATTGTCTTTCGTAATGGAATATACCAAAATTTCAAAGTTGGTGTTAAACAATTAACTTCGTACCTTCATTGGCGATGCCAGTTCAAAAAACTCAATGAAAAGTCACTTATTAAAAGGTAATTAACGATCGCACGTAATTAAAGAGAAATAAATGCAAAATCGAGCGAATGTCAAATCAGAATGAAATATCAATTTTTAACACGTTCAAATATCTCATTTTTAGAATCTCCCTTACATTACACAGCTAACTTTTTTATAACTGAGTGAAATAGGACATCAAATATTCAGGTTGTTGAAAAAGTCAACATTCAACGCCGAATATCTGCGTGAAAGTTCAAGACGGTTTATTTATACATTTTTATAAATAATGTTACATTTTGATACACATTTGCTTGTCCCTACATCTATTCTTTCCTAATTACATGAGAGTGTAGCTAGTTATCTTCATCAATTAATCGAATGATGAATTCTAATTCATTTGAATTTTCTTAACGAATGTCGATAATGAAGAAAAGTACGGCCACAGCGATCCATGGGAGTCCACGCATGCGTAGATTGACACATTGTCATTGATATCATTAATTAATTAGTATTTAAAGAACAATTAGATCTAGAATGATAATTCAAGGATTATTTTTTACCTACAAACGATTTGCTAACGATTGGCAAGGTCAATTTGGTTCTACAAATGAAAATTAGGAAAGTCCAATGGTAACTTTTGCATATTATTTTCATTAATTAGTAAAAAATCAAGGAAAGGCCTACAAACATTTTAATCACTATTACAATGTCATACAAATGGTCCTCACAATTCCTCTCTGATGATCGAAAACACCATACTAGGTGTGAGCACCAGTGTCTGCGCATGCGCCGATGCAAACACTATAGACCTTTTTTTAAATTAATTAAAATCTAATGAATAATTACGTGTAAAAGAATGAAACCAAGGTATTTATTATCTACAAACGATTTGCTTCCCATTGGTTAATATTATTTCGGTCTACAAATAAAAATTAGTGGGGTGGGGTTCTAACTTCCGATCATTATTTTGTTTAATTAATTAAAAAATAATGAAGGATCTACAAAATTTTTTAATTGTATTACAATGATGTACAAAGGTCCTACTATTGATCCAAATAAAAAAACTAATGAATTTTTAATAATGTGGTGCCAACTATCAGTCACCGCGAAAATGAGTTTCACGGCAGAAGTGATCAGGAGCGTACGAAGGATGGGCACTTTTGGGGGGATAATTTGAAGATATTAATAAATGGGATTGGGAGGGAAAATTGTTAATTTAGGGGTTAAATAGATACGTGAGGGTAGAGCCCGGGTATAAGGGTGAAACTGGGATTGAGAAAGGGGTATGTGTATAAACATGGCTTTCGTAGGCATGGTTGAAGGTGAAATGAAGATATGAAAAGAAGATGGATGCTTTGACGGACACTAGGGGGTTCTAGGGGAAAGGGAGAGGAGAAATGAAAGGGTAAAAATTGGGGTGAGAATGACAAGAGATGAATAAAAAAATGCTTCCGGGTAAAATGGGGTGTTTTTGCACCCTAACTAGCCCATTTCCACGATGCCCGAAAAAGTAAAAAAAAGGTCTCTACAAGTATATCTAAATCGATTCAGGGGATGATTCTCAATCGACTTGTCTCCATGAATTTCGACCCTAATTTTTCACCTTCACTAAGCCATTTCCAAGATGGCCAAAGGGTTAAAAAGAATACCTCTGTAAATGTGGGTAAATCGACTCAGGGGGTGACTCTGAGTCGATCTGTACCTATAAATTTCGACATTTTTCTTCGCCCTCACTAACCCTCCCCCAAAATGACCGATGGGATAAAAAAAAAAGTCTTTACAGAAATGGGTACATCGACTCAGGGGGTGATTCTGAGTCGATCTGTACCTATAAATTTTAACATTTGTTTTCCACCCTCACTAACCCTCTTTCAAGATGGCCGACGGCGTGAAAAAGGGTCCACAGGTGTATGTAGATTGATTCACGGAATGATTAGACGGAGTTGCGGAGTCCAATCAGTGTATTGGAAAAAAATAAAAATAGAAGGGTGAACTGAGTGCATTGGAAAAAAATTAGGGGGTGAGGGTGGGAAGAGTGTGCCAGGGTGCAAAGGAGATT